TCATATTCAATCTAAAACATCCTAGAAATAAATATTGCCCTAGGTTTATTTACTACTTTGTAAGAGTACTCCAAACCCTGGACTACGACATGGGCATATGTATGTACACCCACACACAACTTGATGAACTGGACTAGATAAAATAATCTCTAAATTCTTATTCCTAAGATCTTATTAAATATACACTTATTTCTTTTTAAAAAATTTAACTTATTTCAAAGTTTAAAATGGTATTCCTAGGTCTCTAGGTGATTTCAGTAAAAGGAGCTCCCAAACTGTCTATAATTCAAACACCTAAGCTGTACAACTATATTCTTTCGTCGAATATTCCCACCGCTGAGAATTGTTAAGAAAAAATTAGAACAGGAATAAAATGGTATCTGTACTAGGAAAAAATAGATAAAATCAAAGTGCTGAAAGTGTGTATAAAGGAAAATGGGGGGTAAAATCATACCTATTAAAACATTTTTTGAACACTCAATAGAAATGAGAGAGTTTGGTACATTAAAGAACCAACAGATCGCAAACTAATTTTGGCTGTGATTATAATTATAGGTAATATGTAAAAGCTAGTGGGTTTTGGGGTAACATTTTCTCTTCACAATTATCTCTGGCCTTATGGCTGCATAATTTTTAAATTAAAAATGGAAAATAAAAAGCCATTTCCATATCATCTAGCCGTAATATCTGAAAATACAATCTCCCCTTCCCTTTTGTTCCCAGGAAGCATGTTTCTGAATTTAACTTAGAAGTGCCATTAACCAAATCACCCATGGCTGAGGTGGCTAAAGTAGAAATATTAAGTCTATTTCCATGGACAGAAAACTTGCTAAATCTAAAAACATGCATTTATGAACCACAAGACGCTACTTTGCTGATCTGAGGAATTTCGTGTCATGTTGTCTTTGTTTTGATTACTTAAAACCTTGATATTTCAGGAAGTAAAACGGCTAGTTTTGCCTGATTAAGTTTCTGAAACCAGGGACTAGTGGGCAAAGGCTAAGCAATTCCATTTTAATGAAATAAAATATCTATACCTACTGTAATAGAAAAACCTCAGTCTTTCTCCTTTCTATGTAGGGAAAAACCCAGCTCTCTATCTGTTTCTTCCTTGTTTGTCTCCTTTACTACTCACACATTACACTTCACTTCTGACACTTCTGGTCATCAAATGTGTGGAAGTTTTACCCCACACCAAGCAATTCTCTGTACTTGCAGCTGTGTGTCCTACCAGTCAACTCAATTCTGACACTGTCTACCTAGAGGCAGCATCAGATTCTACAGGTTAAGGGCTCAGTCCCACAAGACTGCTCCCACTGCCCCCACTTCAGAAACCTGTTGCAAGCCCAGTTATCACCTGTGCTTTTGACCAACTGGCTGCAGATCAGACGTTCCAATCCCCCCCACACACCCCTAGGGTTCAATTAATTTGCTAAAGCTGCTCCAGAATTCAGTAAAACACTTACCTATGTTTACCAGTTTATTACAGGATGTAACAAAGGATACAGATGAATATTTAGATGGAAGAGCTGTGTAGGCAAGGTATGTGGGATGGGCTCAGAGCTTCCATGCCCTGTCCAGGTGTGCCACATTCCCAGCACCTCCATGTGTTCACCAACTCGGAGGCTCTCCAAACCTCATACTTTGGGGATTTTATGGAGGCTTCATCACGTAGGCATAATGGATTATTAACCCCATTTTCAGCCCTTCTCCCATCTCATGAGAAGGGGGAACAGGGCTTAAAATTCCAAGCTTCTCATCTGGGAGCCCACCAGAGTTGCCTCATTAGAACAAAAGACACTCCTATCACCCAGGAAATTACAAGGGCTTCTTTTCAGGAGCCCTGTGTCAGGAACTGGGGTGAAAGAACAAATAGCACAAAAGATGCACCTAGTGCTCTTAACACTTATAAAATTACAAGGGTTTTAGGAGATCTGTCCAAGAAACTGGGCAGAGACCAATATATACTTTCTATTATCTCACACATACAGCCATCAAACATTTGGAGAGAATTCAACCCAAGAACACCAAAGGCAAAATCTAAATGGAAAGTATGGAGAGACCTTACAATCTTTAGAGAAAGAGAGGTAAAGTAGAGAAAAGCTGTAAACTGAAGTAGAAGATTTCTGGCGTATGTGTAAATTAGCCTGGATAAAATAATTCTTGTTGGACTCAGAGTTTCCTGAGCCCAGAATTTCCAGATGCTCATCTAGGAGTCACTACCCTTTGTCCAGTGGCAGGGAGCTGTCCATACATTTGAGTTAAGAACTTTTTATCAGGGAAGCAGTCAAGTCTAGAAGGCTTCAAATCTAATTCCTGAATGCCCTGTATTTGACAATATAACAGTTCAACCTAATAACTGTTGAGGTGGGAATGGAAATAACCCATCAGGTATCTCCATCATTTGATGAGAAAAATCACCAATCTCCAACAACAACCAGGAAATAGAATAGCTTTATATAAGTCTGGGCTTAGAATGAAAACTGTAATCTATCAACTTAAACAGAACATAAGTATTATAATATTACAGCAGAAACAGTCCCCCCCCTCCTCCTCTGATACACATAACAAATGTTTACTTCCCATCTTCTTCAAAATGAGCGGGATGGGAATGAATACTGAGCAAAACAGGAAGGGAGCAGAGAGAAAAAGACTGAAATTTCTAAAGGGAACGTACAGACCACAGGACGGCGTCATGTTAATAGTGAAAAACAAAACAAAACTGACAGGCAGGCTGGGTCCTAGTATCACCCAAACAGCACATTCTCTCCTGAAAGGGAACTCCAAAGGAAAAGCCAAATTATAATCAAAAGGCCAGTACATTCTTCAGGACACCATCTCGAGTGATGCTAAGGTAAAATGACTCACTTTTGCTTTCCTTGAACCCCTTTTTCCCACCTTCATATTAAAAAGTCTTTGTTCAGAATGGCAGTAAAACAACTATTTCAGTTTTAGCTCTTTCATAAAGTGTTTTCATGCTCCCTACCCTATCTCAACTTCCTGATTCAAATAACTTTGACTATATATTTGGGTGTTAGGTTATCTTGTCCTCAGGCCACCCACCTGTAGATAACATAACAATCAGCTTCAATAAGACACCAAACTTAGGTGAAATTCAAAGAGCATCATGGGTCAATCTCCTAAATACTAATACATAAGTAGTGGAGTAACTTCCTTTTAGAAAGCTTCATGAAATTAAATAAGAATAAAATGATGAATAAATATAGTAGAAACACATTACTTCAGATTACCCTCTCTGAGGAACTGGATAACACCTTCTACTGCAGTCAAGAGTGATGAAGATGACGACTGTAACACCAACATCTAAAGAAAATCACAAAACTAAAACCCAGAGCTCCTTTAAGAAATTGGTTAGAGTAGCCCTGGTCAGGTGACAACTGATTGGAGCATCGTCTCGTACACCAAAAGGTTGCGGTTTGATTCCCGCTCAGGGCATATACCTAGGTTGTGAGTTTGATCCCCAGTTGGGGTGCATACAGGAGGCAACTGATTGATGTTTCTCTCTCACATCAGTGTTCCTCCCTCCCTTCCCCTCTCTCTCTCTCCCTTTCTCCCTCTCTCTAGAAATCAATAAAAACATATCCTCGGGTGAGGGGAAAAAAACCTGTCAGAGTGTATAGCAAAAATCACAAGATTTTCCTAGTCTATTTTGAAAGAGCTCCAGATATATTCTACAACTTTCCTCTATGGCACACACAAGCAATTCTCATGCTTAGGATGGTTAAGATTTTCTTATAACCAAGATCCTTCCCGTTCGAAGTAAACAAAATAAACATTTAACACAAATGGGAATTCTTTAAGTGACTTTTCATCCAAATGACTGCTTCACATAAATAAGGGGGAAAAATCATAGGCTAGCTCTTCTTGTTAATCATCTTAACTGATACTGAGATTCCAATTTTTTTAAATGTAAAATACAGAACATAAACAAAAATTAGAAAATTAAACATGTACACAAATATGTAATTTTTTTCCAATCAAAATGTCACATGTAAAAGTTTAAATTACATTTTTGATAGTTTTTTAAAAGGCAGACCTATGAACTTTTAAAAAAGTAACCTATACTCCTGAATTCAGCCATAACAAAGGGACAACCTAACTTAACGGCATTGACTCTTTCTATAGATTTTTACTTCCTGAAAATAAGAACAAATTGACCTATGAAAAATTAGCAAAACTATAGTCTCTTTACCAGTTTACAAATGACAATACAAAATAACTATATAGCACTTTAAAGTTTTCCATGTTAATGTTAGACATATTGCATTTTTGGAAAATGTGTTTTGTAAATTCTGGTTCATAAAAAAGATCCTTAACTAAAGTATTAATATGAAGCAAATTACATATCTTGTTGACAATTTTCTTCTACTAACTAATGCTTAAGAGATTAAATATCTATCCACTTGTTAACTTGGAAAGGGTGCCCCTCTTATTTCATCTGCTTAACTGTTATCTTTTAGGTCTCAGCTGTTACTCAAGCTCTTCCAGAGGCCTTTCCAGATTAAATGCCCTAGCTATGTACTCCTGATAGCACTTTACACTTCCACTAACATCACATTTATATACACTGTATTGTGACTGTCTGGCAGTGACTGGCACCAGTAGGTGCTCAAATATTTGTTGAATGAACAAGTCAAAAGTAATGTCAGAAGAGTCTCAAAGCAGTATAAAAGTCAACCCTTCAATTAGGCTGTGGCTGTAAATAAGGGGTGGAGGTGGGAACAGAGGTAGGAAGGCCATGGGTGGAGGAGTGCACTCCCTTGTGAAGGAGAAAGGCTTTGCAAGTGTTTCTAAAGGAGAATGACAGTCAAACAGGACAGTAAGACTAAGAAAGACCATATGGTGTTTACACCAACCCATTCACTTTTATAATGACATACATGATTGGTTTAAAAATTAGATGAATCAGTTTAAGAAAAAGGATACATAGTTTATTTTTAAATGTTACTTAAAAGATTCATAAACTGAAAAAGTCTCACCTGTCCTGGGATCAAAGAGCTGATTAGCTTCTAAATCTGTAAAAGTATTAGAACAGACAGGACATTTGAAGGAAGCCCGGTTGGTGGAATCTCTCTCATCAGTTTCAATCCTCCTTCTCATGTGGTCCAATTTATATTTTACCACATTAACAAGAGTACGATAATTGATAAAGTAGTAGTTATGGCGAGTCGTTTTCCCATCCGCAGCAGTCTCTACTCTCATTCTGCATTTGATGAACTTGTCTCCCTTTAAGTTATTCAAAACTGAACGAAGTTGCTTCCGATCAAATTTGAGCAGCTCCAACATATCTTCCTCTTTCACACAAGGGTTCCGGATCAAGATGTCCAAGGCCAAAGCATGCTCAATGCCATAGAAACCTCGGATCACATACTTGGCTAACCTCTTCAATGATGCAGGAACCTCAGTGAGGACATCTGGGTCTGCCATCTTTAGCAAACCACCTTTAAATGTACTGAATTCAGAAAAATAGAGAAGATTACCTAGGCATAATAAGGACATAGTAATCATTTTAAATATAGAATAATCAACCCATCAGGTAGCTATCACTACTCTCAAAGTGCCATAAAGACACTCAAAGCATTGTTTTATAACTTATAATGCCTAAGCATTTAACAGAGAACAAGATTTTGCTCTAGAGTACACAAAAGATTACACCTAGAAAGCCTGACATGCCCTGGTCAGTGTGGCTCAGTGATTAGAGCACTGGCCTGAGCACCAAAGGGTCACAGGTTCAATCCCCGGTCAAGGGCACCTACCTGGGTTGCAGGTTCAATCCTGCCCTGGTGGGGGCTCATGTGAGAGGCAACCAATCGATGTCTCGCTCTCACATCGATGTTTCTCTCTCTCTTCTCCACCTCCCTCCTCCCTTCCACTCTCTCTAAAAAGCAACGAAAAAATATATATCCTCAGGCGAGGATTAAAAAAAAAAATTAAAAAACAAAAAAACGACATATTTCTTAAATGTCAATTTTCATGATCTACAGTGTGCTTGATTCAAAAATTAACTTATGCCCTGGCCAGTTTGGCTCAGTAGTTAAGAGTGCTGGCCCACGGACCGAAGAATCATGGGTTCCCCGGTCAAGGGCACGTACCTTGGTTGCAGGCTTGATCCCAGGCGGGTCGGAAAGCATGCAGGCCACCAATCAGTGTCTCTCTCTCACATCAATGTTTCTGTTTCTCTCTCACCCTTCCCTCCCCCCCCCATTCTCTCTAAGAAAACTCGGGTGAGAATTAACAAAAAAAGTATTACTTATAGCAATGATATATCAAGCCCACTTTATTTCAGAGAGAAACACAAAAAAAGTAAATGAAGTCTCACTATTCTTAATGCTACAGATCAGCGATTTTCAACCTTTTTCATCTCATGGCACACATAAACTAATTACTAAAATTCTGCAGCACACCAAAAATATACTTTTGCTGATCTGACCAAAAAAGGTGTAATTTTGATTCATTCACACAGAACAGCTATTGTTGCATTGGCTGTTGTCATATTTTTATCTGACAATCTAAGGGAAAAGAGGCTGGTGCCCTTGACTAAATAGTCAGATATTGCACGTTTTAAAAATTCTTGTAGCACACCATTTGAAAATCACTGCTATAGATAGATCTTTGGGAATGCTGGAAACACCCGAGAAACCTAGCAGTTAACATATCCTTAGAGTGTCTATTTCTTCAGTAAAATTTTTCTACCAAGATTGCCCTTGCTGGTGTGACTCAGTTGGAGCACCCTCCTGTGCATCAAAGGGTCTCAGGTTCAATTCTTGGTTGGGGCACATACCCAGGTTGCAGGTTTGTTCCCATAGATCCCAGGTTAGGGTGGGTACAGGAGGCAACCGACGGATGCATATGAATGTTTTTTTTCTCTCTCCCTCTCCCTTCCTCTCTCTGTAAAATCAATAAAAACATATCCTCGGGAGTGAGGATAAATAATAAAATAAATAATTTTCTACCAACAGAATCTAGAAAGTTTTACATAGTCATGCTTTCACAATAAAATCACAACAAACCAATAAACACATAAGCAATCACCAATTGGGGTGTTTGCAAAATTAATGTTATAAATATGAAAGTAATTAACACTTAGATCCAGCAGCTTTACCAACTTTGCAAAGTTAAATCTGATGACCAATTAAGTAAATATCGTATAGTCCCTTAAAAAAAAAAAAAAAAAGCAAGTCTAAAATACCCTTAAATACTGGATCACTTGCAGAACAAAGCATTTGTATCCAATTCTTATGTCATGACCCAGAAAGCTGTCTTTTAGAAGCATGGCATAGGCTAGATTTTCATGCGATTGTTAAAAAAAGCATGGGCTTTAGAATTTAGAGTTAGACAGCCTGTGTTTTACTAGCTGTGTGATCCTGAGCAAATCCCTTAAACCACAAGTCATACATTACTCTCTGAGAAATAACAATATCAACTATCTCAATGAGGTTGTTGTGATGAATAAATGAGAAGTAATGTGCTTAGGAAGCACTAATTAATAAGAATAGCTTCCATATCACCCTGGCTGGTGTGGCTCAGTTGGTTGAGCATTGTCCCATGCACTGAAAGGTTACTAGTTCAATTCCTGGTCAGGGCACATACTCAGGTTGCAGAATTCTGTCAGGGTGTGTGCAGGAGGTAACCACTCGCTGTTTCTCCCTCTCTCTTCCTGTCTCTCTAAAAAAAATAAATAAATAAAATTTTTTTAAAAATAGCTTTCATATTGATTTAATATATCCCAAAGTAAAAATGGTCAGGCTATCCAGACTACATCAAATAAAATTCCCTACACCATTGGGAAATTTTCAACAGACATCCCATTGAATTATTTCAATAGGGAATCATATTCTGTTATTAACACTATTTTTTACTGAACCTTTTATTTAAAATCAGTGGTTAGCATTTAACATCTCCTTATATAAGAAATAAGAAATATTTTTATATCCACAGTACTATACGAAAAAGATATTCCTAAATAACCAATCTATACACATTTTGGAGACAGAGGGGCAGAATATTATGCCCTACATGTAATAAAGGGAAAAAAAGGAAAGTTAGTTATAATAAAATATATATTTCATATTGTAAACACTCAGGCATGCCTATACAACAGATAACAAAATAGCACCTAGATCCAAACCTGTGGTCCTACAGCCTTCCTGTTACCCCAAGGCTCAAGGGTGCCAAGGAAGTGCTGGGTTCAACACCAAAGTAGCATCACAGCACACTACCAGGTGCATTTTGTTCAAAGTAGCATCACAGCACACTACCAGGTGCATTTTGTTCTTTTCAATGTGGTCGATACATTGTACTTGAACCCAGTTTTGTTTTTCTTTGTTACATGCTCAAAGGTTGGCAGAATACAAAATATGGTTTCAGAAACATCCAACAGGCCAAAGAATGGCAGACAAATGTCAAAATAAGATACTTTTCCAACTTTACTTCCTACTATTGTATTCCCCTCCCTGACCTCCCACCGCATACTCCATTCTCAACCCTGACTGTAAAGTAAACTCAACTAGGGAGCATTTAAAAGTACCCACGTGGGCCCCAACCCCAGAGATTGTTTCAGCTGGTCTGGGAGGGTCAGATTAAGCATCATCTTATTTTAAAAGCTCTTTAGGTGATTCCAATGAACAGAAGTCCCTGACCACTGCTTCAGACAAATCTGGTGACTGGCTATGACATATCCTGCCAATGCACACCCTACATTTATTTGGAGGACCGTGTCACTTACTTAGCCTGTTTCCATTGCCTGAAACAACTTAGGGGGTCCTAGAGATTTGAACAAGGCAGTGACATGAGAACTCTGCAGTCCAATAGCTTTGGGTTTTGAATCCCAGTTCCACCATTTCTTAGCCTGGGGCCCTGAAAATTCTCAGTCTGTTTCCTCCTGCATAAAAAGTGATTAACAGTTCCTTCCTCATAGAGTTGATGTATGGATTAAATGAGATAATCCATGTAAAATATGCTGCTTACAGAGATGGCATCATAAGAGTCCCATTAAGTACTGGTATTCATAAGAACTCCTATTTAGAAAAGTGACTCTTAAAATATGAGGAATGGACTGAGGTAAGTGAAAATGGACACACTGTGGAAGTATAAGGAGCTATCAAACTTAAACTAAGAAAGAGAGCAAAAAATTGCAAGAGAACGGGTTGAAACTTATTACAGAAACAAAATTCAAAAGACTCAATAATACATTGGAAATGGAGTAAAAAAATTAGAAAAATTTTAAATAGTTATTTGTTTTTTTTAAATAAATGTTTTATTGTGGCAAAATACACATAACAAAATTTACCAATTAACCATTTCTAAGTATACAGTTTAGTGGTATTAAATACATTCATAATGTTGTATAACTATCACCACCATCCACCTCCATAACTCTTCTCACCTTGTAAAATTGAAAAGCTATACCCATTAAACAAGCATGTTGTTAATACAATTAGATAGAGCTATTTGTTTTAAGCCAGTGTAACTAGGAAAAGTACTACTATGAAAAATAAGTTAACAACTGAAGAGGAACAGGTTTGGAAGAAACGAGGCATTCACTTTTAGTTGCTTGTTTTTGAGGAAATCCTACAGAATATTCTGTGAAGATGTCCAGCAGGTAGCTGAACGGATGAAACTGGAGCTCAGGAAAGAACTCATGCCACCTAGTTCAAATTTCTACATTCTAAAATCGTCCTTTGTGGCCACTGCCTTCTCTATCACTTCTACTTCCCCACATATGCTGAATCTCCTACTCGGTCTCTGGATTTCTTAAATTATTTAGATCACAGGTCCCAAATTGGCAGCCTCTGCCACATTGTCCGACCAAAAGAATGTCTTAATTTTCTTAGTTGTCAACATCTAAAAATAGTGGGATTTCACATAAATCTCAATTTTCAGCTCCTCCTGAAATTTGAAAATATCTGAGGAAAAGTAAGACCAGGTTCCCAGATGGAAAAAACAAGCTAAAAAGCAGCTGTCACTTTTAAACAGGGAAAGAGCTTGGCTGGCTGGTCTCTGGAAATGTTTAAGTGTGTGACCTCTCAGGGCAAGCCCTTTTCTTCTTTTTTGCCTCAAAGTCTCAGTCCCTCCCAGTCTCACCTATCTCTCTACCCAGCACAGATCCCCAAAGATCGTTTTTGAATCATATGTACTCTAATCACACAAATACTGAAGAACTACTGTGCACCAGGCACAGAGCTGGAGAAACAAAGTTGAAATGAATGAACTCTCTGCACTATCTACCCTGTGGGTCCTATCTCCAGCCACACTGGGCGGCTCTTAATTCCATCAGCCACACACGCCTTCCCCACTTTCAGGCCTTTGTACATGCTGTTCTCTCTGCCCAAACTCTCTTCTCCTAATCATCCTTCACATCTCAACTGACATTTCCTCAGAGACCTTTGCAGATTCCCCTTAAGGGCTTAGTATGACTCCCCGTTTCACAAGTTCCCCTGGCTCTTTCCCAACCTTCCCTGTTGCAGTGAATAGACATGTACTTCTCCGTACCCATCTCTGAGAACAGGGACATCGTGTTCATCACTGACTTTCCAGAATCCAGCACAGCTAGTCAAGTACTTTCAAAAAAATTTCCAACAGATCGCCTAAGCACGTGTTCTTCCCACATGCCCACCCTGCCAGCTTCCCCACAGTTTACTTCCTCCACTGCCGCTTCCACAGTAGAAAAAGACAGGCTACTGGAAACCCTCTTCTTAAACTTCAACTGGTTTTAAGCAGGAAGCAACAGGATCAAGTCTGCAATTTTAAAAGATAATGCTGGCTGCAGGGTATAAAATAAATGGAGAAAGGAGAGGATGCGGGGGTTTCCAGTTTATTAATCCAGTGGATTACTGCAGTATCTTACTATGCCAGTTCTATAAGAATCTGGATCTGACACGTTTAACGGCGGTTTCCTCAGCTACCATATTTCATGGTACTGTGCACGCCTTCATACGTAAGAAAGCTGCAAACCACAGCGAAACCTTTGGACCCAGCTGCCCTCCGCGAGCCCGGTTCGGTCCTGTTCACTCCTCCCTACACTGCGAGACCCCCAAGGCCCTCGGATTCGGCCAGCTGAGCCCAGGGGCCACACTCGGTGGAGCCAAGCCGGTCCTACCAGAGGTCGCACGCGGGCCGCTCCAGGGTCAATGGGTCTTTGGAGGACCAAGTCAAGAGAGGAGTTTAGAAGAGGAGGGTAGCTAAGAGAGGAGCGAGAAGGAGGAGAAACCCTGAAATGCGACTCCGGGCCAGGGAACCCAGAACAAGGAACAGGGAACAAGCTTTACCAAGGCGAATCCTCGAACACTGGCACTACAGCTTCCCTCTGCGCCTCAACTACCGGCTCAAACGAGCCTCGCCACTCCTGCGACAAAGAAAACGCCTTATTACTGCGACCGGCTTTGGGAACCACCCGCTACGTTTCACCGGGCCGGCCAATCAGCGCAGTGAAGCCGGCAATGGAGAGAGTCTCACTCTGATTGGCCAATGAAATGGAAGGCTCTGCCCTCCACGCACAGCTCTGATTGGCCTACGATCCGGAACAGGCGTTAACCCCAGGAAGGCGGTGGCAAGATGGCGTCCCTGGATCGGGTGAAGGTACTGGTGTTGGGAGACTCAGGTGAGCGGTTTAACCCACTTCTTGGGCTCCCGACACTTTTGTATTATCCGATAACGACTACTCCCTCCCCACCCACTAACTGGCTACGGGCGGAGGCTGAAATCCCGCTCAAGGCCTAAAGACTACACTTCCCAGAGGACTTTGCTCTGTTTGACGAAGCGGCGGCCTCGCGCGGGTTGGGGGCGCAGAGTCGCGGTCCCTCCGCCTCCGCAGCTACCTACGTCGGTTTCCTTGACGATCGTAACCTAGCGCGTACTGTCAATTCCTTTGTTTTAAAAGATATGCAGACCTTGAGTATTCTGTTGCGCGCGGTGCTAAGGAAACAGAAGTTAGGACCGACCGTGCCTTTAAGAGATTTTGTTTCTTAAGGAAGTCAAACGTGCACTAAGAAAAATGACACTGTTCTGAGTGCTTTGCATATATTAAGTCATTTAATCCGGAAATCAGCCCTATTACCCCATTTTACAGAAGAGAAAAGTGTGGCTGAGAGATGTAACTGACAGAACCGATTTGAACCCAGAGTCCACATACTTAAACACTAAGTTATTTTATGAAATGAAATATTGGATGGTAATCCTGTTTTACTCTCAACTGGGCTTGATTTCTTTGTTCTCTTTGATCTTAATTGAAAACCTATTACGTGCTAGATTGTAAGAAATAGAGAAATTAAGATAAGGGCCATATTATGCAATAACTTAGACTTAATGCTGAACCCAGTTTAATTCTAGTTTTAAAATTCTTTTGACACCTTGGACATTTGAGAGCTGGAATTGGAAGTCTGCATTTCCCCCTCCTGCCTCACTATCCTCCCTCTTACCACACCTCCACTCCTATGCTCCTTAGGAACTTGGAATAAATGCTAACCTTGTATTTCATAGTTGTTTGTGCTTTTCTGGAGTTCACCTTTGAAATGTGTGTTATGAGCAAAGACATTGTGCCAGATGCTTGGAGGTGAAGAGGACATACCTCAGACAGCTTGAAAACCACCCTTACAGAACTGAGCAACATTGTTGGGGAAAGAAGGCGGTCAAAACCTTTTCACCTTGCCTGAAGATTATTTACATTATAAAATATTTTACAGAGAGAGCTATTTAAAATTCCCTTAAGAAAGCTGCATTATGAAATTATATGAACATAATACATTTATGTCAACTCCAGTTCTTTAGCTTGAAGTGGTGCTGAAGTTAATGTAATAAAATCACTCAGTTTTACAGATAAAGTAATGCTACTTTAAACGGATTTGGCAAGAGTAGCATCAAGTAGAATTTAGAACTGGAATACAGAGCTAACACAGTTTCATGATATTTGAAGTGGGTGTCTCTCTTTTATAATTCCCTTTTCTATTGCCCCTAACAATCTCTTCATGTTAGATATTGTTGGAACTAGTAGACTCCCCCCCCAAAACAACAACAACAACAACAACAACACTTAAGTATGTGCTACAGAGCAGGCACTGTATTAGGTGCTGGGGTTGTAACTGGAATTAGTGCATTACATAACAAGGTTGAATTGGCTGCTGCATTAAAAGTGGGAAAGTGACCAGGCAATTAGTAAGCTTTGTTTGTTTGTTCGTTATAGTTTAGTTGTAAAACAGAAGACAGTCATGTCCACCAGGAAAGTAATTGATCTTGTTTCACATTCAGATGTTAGGCTATATGTGCAGTCAGTTATTGCCTTTTTATCAGTTCCCTTTTAACAGTGACTTGCTGTCAGACAGGTTATAATATACAGTACTTCTTACACTTCATCTGCCTTTGCATTCTAACTTCAAAGTTTACTTTTTAATAAAGGCTTATTTCCCTTGTGAAATTTGGAGGGTTTCACAAATACATAAAGGAATGACTTGGGACTTAGAGATTAGAGATTTATTTTGTATCCCATAGAGATATTTGATAACTTCGTAAAGAATCCTGAAAGTCTCCCTAACATGCACATACTGACTTCTTTGTTCTTTCAGAGATAAGGAATGAGCTTAATACATTACCAACAACCATTTGCAGCTGGTATTTATTGAATTCTATTGGGCCTTTTACCTCTCAGCAAATCAATGCATTTTTAAATCTAATTTAGTTCTAATAGTGAAAACATAGAATCAGAACTTCCCAAAATTCTTAAAGAAATGAATAGTTAGCCGAGTCGGGCATGGCTCAGCTGTTGAGCACTAACCTAGGATCCAGGGGATCCAGGTTCCATTCCCTGTTGGGGCGTGTGCCCAGATTGTGGGCTCAGTCCCCAGTTGGCGTGCAGGAGGCAGCTGATTGATGATGACTCATCATTGACGTTTCGACTCTCTCTCTCCCTCTCCCTTCTTCTCTCTGAATCAATGAAGATATATTTAAAAAAAAAAAAAAAAAAGGAGAAATAAATAGCTAGCCATTATTTCTGGTACTTCCATTCTTCCTATTGTTTAGAGTTCATCCAGTATTAGCTAATTCTTATCACCCAAAGTTAATTCATGGAGAGCTACACGTGTTACTGCATAAAAATACTTATTCTGATATAGAATTAAGCTTAACTAGAAGCTCAAGCCTTGCATCAAACTGATAACTAAATGCCTAGATATATGCCTCCAACATAAACAATTAAATACTAGCACAAATATCAATAATATGCCCCCAAAATCATAGATGCAATGCAGTAAATACAAAGACAAAAGCTAAGTCTGAGCAACAAAAGTTTTAAATGTCTGTATGCAAAATAATAAAAAGAATAAAAGGGAAATCTGGGAAAATGTTTGGTTCAATTACATGAGGTGACTAATAAATCAAGAGGTCATGAAAACTTATAACACTAAGCAACTACATAACATTGTTGAGATGCAACAAGACTTGCAGGCTTCTGTGTATGGCTTGTGGCAGAGTGACCAGATGAAAGTTGTCAATATATATCAAGAACTTTAAATGTTCATTTCCTTTTACATATTAATTTCACTTCTGGGAAGTTATACTAAGGAAATAATTTTAATATTAAAAGTTTAAACAGAAATCTTTTCTTAGCATAGTGAAAAATTTAAAATACCCTAAATATCTAATAATGAGGAAATGGTTAAGTAAATTATTATGTCAGTGTTCTGAACTACAATGTAGGAGGTATTAAACATGTTTAGGAAGATTCTATAATAACATGGATAATTTTAGTCGTTAAATAAATAATTAAGGACCTGTTCTGAGTATTTGGAGATTAAAGAAAAAAGATAAGTAAAACCCAGTCCCAGTCCTCAAAGAAATTAAAATTAAACAGAATGAATAATACATATAAACAAACAAGTGTAATAATGTGTTATAAGTGTTCTGTAGAAAAATGTCCAGGGTACAGTGGAGATGCAGAGGATGGTGGATAATGTGCTTAGTTCTACCTGTGTGGAGTCAGAAAAGACAATGACTAGAATGATGCTGAGTCTTGACAGGTTAATTCACCAGGCCAGTGGAGGGCAGGGGTGGGGGAGAATGGGTAGTGTATTCCAGACAGAACCAGATGTGTAAACAAAGGCTTATGATTTATTGTTTTTAAGTACACCATGTATATATTCACAATAACAATCTTATGGGAAAGATTATAGAAAAACCCGCTTATGGATTTAAACCTTCATATCAACGGTAGTGCTCTTCAGGTGTGTTTTTTTTTTTTCCTTTTAAAAAATTCTTTGTGATTGTCTGTAAATATAACTTTACATAATAAAAAATAAACATAAATGATAGATTCATGCACAAAAGTGCACACAAAGAGATGGTCTAAGTTTTTGATACAGCAAATAATGCAGAAAGATTCACCAACCATGCTTGTCATAATGGCATAAAAAAGCTGTTAATTGAATAAGTGACTCCATCGATGTGTGGAGAGAACTCATTTTCTTTCCCCCTCACACAGAATGTCCTGAGCCCAGGAGAGCTAAAGGAAAGGAAAGTGCTGCCTTAAGGTAAAGGGCCATGATTAGAAGAGGGAGTAGAGTTGTTCTCTTTTAGCAAAGGGTAAAGCTGGGCCAAGTGGTTGGCTGCCTTTTAAAAATCACTGTATGGGAGAACTGGAGTGTGTAAATAAGGAATTGTGAAATGGGGAGTCCCTGCCACTGACAGCGTTCAAGCACAATCTGGAAGACCATCTGACAGGGTGCCATGGAACGGACCTCTCCACTGGTGATCAGGATAGAGGATTACCTCCAAGATCTGTTAAAATTCTACAATTCTAAAAAAGACTGAATAGATGAAATCATTCAAAAGGAAAGTGTTAGTTCATATGAAATTGCCCTAGAATAGTAGTTCTCAAAAGTGAGGCCCCTGGACCAGTAGCATCAGCATCACCAGGGAGTTTGTTAGAAGTCCAAAACCTTTGAGCTCCACAACAGACCTGCTGAATAGGAAACTGGGGACAGGACCCAGAATTCTGTGTTTTAACAAGCCCTCCTTATGTGAGATTTTAGAGGACACTTTTCTTGACCATCTATTAATAAAGCTTATTAAATGGTTGGTATGGTGTGAACACCCTTTAAACAAACATGCTGTTATTACTGCATATTCTCAGTTACACTTTTGCCGTCATAGATTTCAGCATGTCTCTTACCTGACTAGAGTTCTTGTGTCTTTTACAGGTGTTGGGAAATCTTCACTAGTTCATCTTCTGTGCCAAAATCAAGTGCTGGGAAATCCATCATGGACTGTGGGCTGCTCAGTAGATGTCAGAGTATGTTTCCTATATTTCAGTTTTTTAGTAGTCATATTAAAAATAACTTGTTCAAAGTATGTAATCAAATTACAGTACTGTGGTCAAAAGTAAGTAATGATAATAACTGGGCTTTATTAAGCACCTACTCTGTGCTAGATACTGTGCCAAATGCTTTACATGTGTTTGCTTATTTAATCTTTTTTAAACTGTGAGATACAGCTGCAGAAACTAAGGCACATAGAAGCAAAGTAACTTGACCAAATTCACTCAGTGCATAACAGACAGAGTCAAGATTTGATCCCTATTAGTCTGATTCTAGAGACTTCAGTTTTAATTGTTATGTAGAGTTCACTTTACATGCTCCTTGAATAATTCTGCCTAAGCCTTTGCACTAAGAAATACAACTTTGGGCTAGAAATAGTGCAAAGGCAAAAGCTTCTGGAGCCTTATGTTTAGGGTCACCTGTCTACCTCACATTTAGGAAACACAGGCACAGTGTCCACTGAATTAAGTATCTTTCCAGATATTGTTGGTGTTTGCTAATTCCAACTCCTCCGGTCCAAGTGTCTCTTCTGCTGGCATACCTTCTCCATTGAGTTGAGAAATAAATAGGAAGGGATGGTAGTTAGCTAGATGGACAGTTATCTTCCTTTAGTTCTTTGACTGAATGAGTTCTATGACTTATTTTGCTGCTGGTTGGAAACCTTTCATCTGAAATCTTTGATGTATATAGTTTTGCTAACCCATGTCTAGGTGTGGATTATTAGTCATTCTATTCAGAAGTCATACTCCTCATGGCTGTCTTCATTTTCAAAAGTTTTAGCCATGGTCTGTCTGCCGTCCTTCCCTCAGTCCTCTCCTTTTGAACTTCTATTAGACTTTTGTCCTCTGTCTTTTAAGTGCACTTTCAGGTTTTCTATTCTTTGTTTCTCCTCAGTTCATTCTGGATGGTGTACTCCTATCTTCCAGTTAACTAAGCATCTCTTCAACTAATCTGTCTAATCTGCTTTTAATATATCCACTCAGTTTTTCATTTAATAACTGTAGTTTTTAGATATTTTTTTGATTCTTTTACAAATGCCAAAAGTTTCAGAATATCCTAAGCTTTCATTATGGTTTTACTTTCATATTTTAATCATTTTTAAACATACTATTTTATGGTTTCTTTTGGAATGTTCTATTTTTTCTGCGTGGGTGGTTGGTATCCTACTTGCTGTATATGCTGACTCTACTTCATGAAAATGTATCTTTTTGTATGGTTTGTAATTTTTTGAAGATCACATTTCCTCTTCCCTGTGGAAGAACTGTGTGCTGTGTTGTGAAAATAGTCAGTGCCTTTTCATTTCTGTTGCTGCCAGAGCCCTAGGGATTTCAATGGTCCTTGTAATTTCTCAGCTAGGAGTTTCCATGCCATCTAGATCATGTAAATTCTCCTTAATGTTCAATTATATCATGGACCTGTGGTTTTCATTTCTTGGGGCCTTTTTATCTATGCTCTACAACCCCTACAGTGAGGTTCCTGATAGAAAATTGTTTATGTTTTTCCTGAGCCAGTGGATAGAGTTTTTCCCCTTCTCTCTCACTGACTGGGCAGCTCAGCAAGGGTCCAGATTTCATCAAGAGAACTACAGTCGGTCTTTGTCACTCACCCACTTGCCTTAAAAGCTGGAAAACAAATCTCTATTCCTGGATGGGCACTAAAACTCCAGGGACCAGACCCTGAAGCTATATCTGAATCTAGGTCAGTTCCCACTTCTCACTCTGATTTTAAGTTCCTTCTTTATTTTCTAGCATCTGGGGATTTTCCTTTCTTTTGAACTTGCTCTCTTTATTTTTTAAAATATTTTATGATGTTTCTATGCATGTAAAGTCAGAGGGGACCTGTCTGCCATTTCAGCTACCATGCTCCCAAATTCTTAGATATGGCAGAAAAAGAAATTCTAGGTAATGAGTTGAATGGCAACTTTATTTAAGTTTGGGATACTCAATAGCAAGTTCTGGACAAAATTTCCCTTTGTACATTTCTACCTCCCTTCCTTGTGAGATGACATATTGAAAAAAACACAAACTCAAGTTTAAACTCCCACTTCCTGGAGCAGTCCTCATATTGCCTTTTGCTTCTTAAACAGTGACCTTAGACTAATCAGTTTACTTCTCTGAGTCTTAGGATACTATTTGCAAAGTCGAGTAAATAATACCTGCTTTATCTAGCCTACAGGTTTGTAAGCAGGATCACAGAAGCTTAAGAAGCGAAGTTAAAGTATAGTGCTTTACAATTTGAAATAGAACTTTAGTTCAGTATTCTTCCCCCTCCCTTTTATTCCTGTCCTGCCCTGCTTATCCCCACCCAGAGCCAATCTGCTCATGTAATTTACCTTTTGGGTTTTCCCCCCTACTTCTCATTGAATTGGCTAAATCTCTGGTACAGTGTTGAATAGAAGTGGTGTCTCATTCCCAATCTCGGGAAATTTTCAATGTACCCTTAAGTCTGGTGTTTGTTGTAGGATATTTTTGTAGATGTACTTTGTCAGATTATAGAAATTCCCTTCTGTTCCTATTTTGATGAGACTTTGTATCATGAATTGGTGTTGTATTTTGTCAGTTGCTTTTTCATGGTAATCATATTTCAGCTTTATTTTGTTGCTGTAGTAAATTATATTGATTGATTTTTAAGTATTAAACCAACTTTGCATTCTCAGAATAAATCCAACTTAGTCTTGATGCATTAGTCTTTTTATATATCACTAGATTCAGTTTGCTAATATTTTTTTCAAATATTTGCTCCTAAATTCATCAGAAATATGTCTGTCATTTTCCTTATCTTGTGGAGTTTTGGTATCAGTGTTATGCTAGCCTCATAAAATGAGTTGGGAAGTGTTATTTATGTATCCTCTGGAAGAATTTATGTAAGATATATGTTATTTCTTTCTTAAATATTTGAAAGAATTCACAAGTGAAACCATCTGGCCCTAAAATTTTCTTTGTGGGAAGTTTTTAACATTAAAGAAAATATGAAAATTACTGTGTTCTCCTTGTGTCAGTTTTGTTAACAATTTTTTGAAAGAATTTGTTCATTTAAAAAAATTGTCAAAAATTTGTTTTTATATCCTCTATTGTCTTTCAGTATATGTAGGATCTTTAGTAATGTTACTCTTTTTCATTTCTGGTATGGGTAATTTGTGGCTTTTATCTTTTGGTCTTGCCAGATGTCTATCAAGGACCAGTTTTTGGCTTTGTTGTTGTTCTTTATTATATATTTGTTTTTTATTTCATTAATTTCTACTCTTTTCCTAAAGATGTCCATACCTTTGGGGGGTTTAATTTGCTATCTGTCTTTTTTCTAACTTCTTGAAATGGTTCCTTGTTTCATTGATTTTTTTTCAGGCTTCCTTTTAGAACTCAAAGGCTCTAAATTTTTAACTAGGCATAGTTTTAGCTACACACCTCTGAAGTTTTGTTTATTGTCATTCAGTTAAAAATGTCTAATTCCATTGTGATTTCTTCTTTGACTCATGGGTTATTTAGAAATATGCCACTTCATTTCCAAACACTTGAGAATGTTTATTATCTTTTATTTATTGCTCTCTAGCTTACTTTCATTGTGTTCAGAACACACACAGTATGATTTCATCCTTTGAAATTTGGTGAGATTTGCCTGATGTCCCATTGTATGGTCAATTTTGGTAAATATTTCATGTGCCCTTGAAAAGAATGCATGTTCTATAGTTGTTGGGTGCAGTGTTCAAATATATCAATTAGGTCAAGTTTGTTTATTATTTTGTTCAAATCTGATTTTTTGTCTGCTTGTTACATCATTTGCTAAGGAATGAATGTTATAATCTCCAACTATTAGTGTTGATTTATCTATTTCTCATTTTAATTCTATTAATTTTTCATTTATATACTTTGAGGTTATATTACTAGATATGTATTAATTTAAGATTGTTTAAACTTCCTGAAGGAGTTAACATTTTATCATTGTGATATGTCCCTCTCCAAATCTGGTAACACATTGTGCCTTGAAGTCTCTCTTGTCTGATAATAAAATAGCTAAACCAACTTATTTATTTTTTCCAGTTTTATTAAAATATAATTGGCATATAACTTTGTATTAGTTTAAGGTGTGCAACATAATGATTTGATATATGTTTGTATTACAAAATGATTTCCACAATAAGTTTAATTAACACCTATGATTTCACATAGTTACAATTTTTTTCTATGATGAGAACTTTTAAGATCTAAGTGTTCATCAACAGATAAAGAAAATTATACACAAACACACACACAAAATGAAATATTATTCAGCCATAAAAAGAAGGAAATCCTGCCATTTGCAACAACAAATACATATAAATATATGTATCTCCTGTAAGTAGGATATAGTTAAACTTTGTTTTGATAAGCCGTCTGACAGTCTTAGTCTTTTAATTTGATTCTTGGACCTTGCCCCCAGATATTCTGTGTCAGAGTTATGCATGATGCCCAAGGATCTGCATTTTAAGAAGCACCTGAGATGATTATGGTATAGGTGAATAGTATTTTAAGGAATACTGGTTAGGATGTAGAATCAGTCTTCCAAGGAAATATAGAAGTGGTTAATGATAAGATTTGCAGCAGAGGGTTAAGAGTATGAACCTGCTACTGATAGGAAGCTAGTAGGTATTAATAAGGCAAGGGGAGAGGGAAGATAGTACAGATGGATGGCACAAACCTTTAAATAATACAGGGTTTTTTAAATATAAGGGCAGAGGAGTAGTGTACTGGAAGTAGCTTTGGAGAGTAAGCCAGGTACTTTTTTTACTTTACAATTCCAAGGTAATTAGAATGAGAGAGGACAGCATCCATCTGAGAGGGCAGCAGAAATTGTATGTTCAGAGCAGAGGCTGGCATCAGTTAATACAGTGAAGTTGAAGATTAGAGTAATTTGGAATTTTTTAACCATGGAGTAAGGTTCCAGGAGAAAAGTGGAAAGATTTAGAGGGAGAAAACAATTGAGGGTTAATTGATGGGTAGGG